GTTCGTTTGTATGCACCTGTCGCTTTGTTAGCACGCGTCATGGTGAGAACATGTACATATCTTGGATCTACTTGTAAAACACCAGGTGTGTAAAACACCAGGTGTTTTTGTTACATTCTATATCAAGTAATTTCAATGTCCGATCCACCCGGGAAATCCTGGGACTTCACCAGTCCATTCATCGGCACGCCCTTCGAATTCCAGGCACCGCTGCGGATCCTGACGGCGCCGAGGCAGACTTGGACGCTTGGACGCATTCAGCAAGGAGAATCACCCGGTCCGAAACCGGGACACCTGGAAACCTGGAAACCGTGCGTGGTAGATATATATCCATAACAAGCATATTGGAATAAGTTCTGCAAGGACCATGGGTGACTACTGACATAAACATTGACTTGATGACGTTCACTACCCATCACTCTTCAGAGGTCACCAGTCGCCAAAAGACACAAAGCTACACCAAGCGGAAACTGGATCAACAACCAGGCTCCATCTGAACTCATGACCTTTTTGAACCTTGTACTCCCCAGCCTTGTGGTATTGTGTGATTATAGTTCATCACTTATTGCTGTTAATTAAGTTACATCATACTATAGTATGATATATGTCATATATGTTACACTATATAATTAGGTTACGTGTGCTTCAGGGTGCAGGAGCTTGAACTCATCCATCACCTGGCACTTGGCACCATTCGCCACCCAGCAGTTCAGGAATAGCTTCTGGGGCTTCGCTGACACCAGCAGTGACTTCCTGAACCTCTTTGCAGTAGGCGACCGGTGCCAGGACTGTGAGGACGCTGCCAGGGGCGGCAGGAGTCGATTCAACTCTTTTGAAGGTTCATGAATCAAGTCCTATAGGACTGTTGTCACAAGGCCTTCCTTCCAATTCTGTCCTTCTTCTTCCATCGTGAACAGCGATTGCAGGTGCTTGTTCCAAAAAAACCGCTCGGAATGGGCCACAAGTTGCTCCGGAAAGGGTCACCAACTTGCCAGCTGACCTGCCAGCCCTGCAGCATCCCCCCTTGGCATTGGTGGTCCTTCCAAAAAGGAGCGTGCTATTCTTCAGTTCGGTGACCTCTCAATTGGATCCCGATGTGGCGGTACCAGGTCCGAATGCTGGGCTGTGCCGGACCCCCGACTCAGAGTGGCCCCACACCGTTGGTCTACGGTGTACCTTTGTCGAACCACATGGCATAGATATATACATAGGCAACATTAGGCAACTATACTTGCATATAGTAACTATAGATAACTATAGTGTTGCAACACTGGGCACAACGGTCGCCACTGGGCACAACGTTCACAACACGAAGCATAGTTAACTAGTGGCTGCCATCATCTGCCATCCACGGTCGTCAGATGCGTTGGTTGTCTCACGATACGTCTCACCGCGCCCGCAGATCATCCCCACGGCGAGCTGGTGGCCGGGCAGTTCGCCGCTTCGGCGGAAAACGGGTGGGCGGAGATCGTGCGAAAAGGTGCGAAGTGGGCGAGGGAGTGGTCGATGGCCTTCATGCGAGGAGTGGATGTGTCAGGTGGTAGGGGGCGTGTGTATATTTATATATATATATATGTACGTCAGATCAACTTGCATTTGCCAGCACCCTCTAACAGGTCTCCTCTGGTGGCTTTGGGAGACTTAGAAGTCGTAGGTGGTGACCTCTTGGAGGGTCCTGGTATGTAATATGATAAGTCAACGGATCTTGATTTGGCGAGGGGTTTCAATAGATTGCAAAACTCACAATTCAGAGGCCCTGCACTATAGCAGCTTGGTAGGGATGGTAGGGCAAGGAAATGGCTTTCTGATCAAATGTGCCACTTCCACCATATCCACACGAATCTTGGTATATATTGTTGGATTATGTTGGTGATGGGAACTTCAGTACTTGAAATATGATCTATATAACCCTATCGGAATCCTGAAGTAATGGCTTTCACCAATTAGAACCATGCTTAAAAAAATGATTTGACACCACAAAAGTCAGGAACCTTGCATCCTGCATCCATCCCGCATTTTCAAGTCCAGGCCTTCCAAAGGATCCCCGGTCGACCAACTTCCTCTCCATTTCGTCCCACCCGACCTCGTCCGACCTCGTCCGAGGAAGGGAACTTCCGGATCTTCCGCTCCACGGTGCTCCTCTTGCGCTTGCGCCCTGGGCGGTGAACGACCTCCAACGCGCGGCGCGAAACGGGAACCTCCTGGGGCGGAGAAGGGGAGTGGAAGGAGGGGCGACCCAGACAGATGTGTGGCGCCACATGTTGGGGTGTTGGGGACAAACAGCTGGGGAATGGTGGTGGATGGGTCGTTTTTGACCAGTGGAGGAAAAGTGGTGGAAATTCTTGGTGGAATTCTTGCCACTTCTGGACATCCCCCTCCCAAACAAAAAAGAGACCAACGAAAGACGCCGACCTTCTGCCCGCCGATCGAGGATCCTCACGATGCTCTTCGCCTGCCTACGGCTCACGGCGGTGATCGCACGTACGCCCGACGAGCGCGAGGAGAGCGAGAGCGACAGCGCCTGGGAGGAGGTCGAAGAGGACGGAGTGTGGGTCGCGGAGGGGCGGAGCTGCGGCGGCTGGAGCGCCTGTGGCCTTGGTGTTGAGATCAGCGTGATCGGCCACACCTCCGGTGATGCGTGTCTTTGTGTGCGTGTGTGGTGGGTGGGTGGGTGGGTGGGTGGGTTGTGAATGATGTGTGTGGTGCTGCATGATTTTGCGCATCATATGCGCCAGTGACGTGTTGGCATACCTCTTGATGGAGATTAGGGAGGTGGTACTATTGTTATTTCACTGTAATTTCCCCATAGACGATGTTTGATCATAAGAAAACTCTCCGAAAGCTTGTTGAAGGACATGCAGCCATACCGAACAGCGTGCCCATAAGAAATTCTTGTGAAGCCACTCCTTTTCAGCAGAGATTTGTAAGGGATCGGGATCATGCTATTCATCTACAAGTTCTCCTTACTTGAGATAGATTCAGACAGACACCCACTTTTCAAGTGACCTAGCCCCTATATATATAGAGCAGCAGCATGAAGCCTTCTTTGAGTTGCGATTTGGTGGGAGTGTAGCTGGGAAGCAGATATCCGCCTCGCTTGAACCGAAAGGTGTTTGGAACTCGCAGATGTCGGCACTGGGTGTCACTTGGTGTGACAAACTGTCCTCAAAACCAGGGGGGCTTCCCTATATCAAGAGCGTTCTCCACCAACCGTGCGGTGGACTGGCACTGTGAAGTTGCCAGGAGTTCTGTGGTGCTTAATCGAAGTGAGCGACGGAGAGTGTGCCGAGAGCGATTTGGAACTGACGACGAATGAAGCTACCTTTAAAGGTATCAGAGAGCTTGGGTTAGGGAAACAGTAGAAGTCTCTATGTGAGATCAATCATCAGCAACAACATGCAGCAACCAGCACCACAATGTGAGAAGTCAAACAACAACTTCCGAAACCTCTTGAGGGTATTCATAGTTGGACCAAGTCATGAAGGGACACATGGCTGCAGGTAAACCTCCCCCCCGGTTGACGTTCATTATTTTACTTTCTTCCAATTTCTTAGGGTCAACCAAGGTCCCCGGGTTTGACCCACAGCCCCGGGAGCCCCAAATAGGGAGAGATCTGCTCATGTGCCGAGCTACGGCGAAACTCGCGCTGATCCGGGCGTCGCAGCAGGGCTGCTGCAAACAGCAGTCACCACTCCGTAGAGCCACCGAACCACCGAGTGCAAGGAGTGTCGGACGCCAAGTATGACATGGGATAACGGTTTTCAGTGGCCAGTGCTAGGTGACTGGGATGTCTAACAGCGGTATGGCCTTTACCTCGATTTCTTCAGAAAAAGGTCATGGTAAGCATGTTGGAGCGAGGTCTTCAGCCTTGGTCAGTCTATGAATCACATAAGCTCAAAGAAGCTTATATAGAAGAGGCACTTGGCTCCTTGTCAGCTTGTGCCAATGCCAGCTCGCCTCAGTTGAGTCAGGATGTAGTAGTGGAAGAACAAGTAAAAACAGGACAAGGTCAAGGTTTCACTTCACAGTTGACTTGACTGTGCCTCTATTCTTGCAGACAAATCCATATTTTGTCCAACAGAGGCAGGGCAATCGTTTCGCTAATGACCGTCTCGCGTGCCACGCCGTTTTGCTGATAAACGGCGGTGTTTGGGACAATCGTCGGAACGGGTCACGTCGGTTGGAGACAAGAGAGGAGGGACGAACACTTCTTGAGATAATCTAATCATGGAAGTTGGTGGCATTGGGCCTCGAAAGGGTACTATAACAATTTTCTGAATACCAAACAGTGGTGCCAGGTGCCATCCACTTCCATGATCATTTCAATGTAACATGCGATTCTCTACAGCTGCAGGGTGTTTGGGCTATTTCGGTCTTCTTTGTTTAGGCACATGAACCGGGCGGCCCAGCTCTTAAGCTGTCGACCCACCGAATCCTGCTCCATGGCTTCCCAACGCGTGGTGACTGCAGGGGCATTTGGAAGGGGTTCCCAGAGGGTTCCCATTGTCCACCTACTTGGAGTCTAAGAAAAAACCTCTTGAACCTTTGGCAACGGCTGGTGGATGAGGCACGATGAGGCCCTTGGACGGTTTTGGATGGTTGTGGGTGTATGATGAAGCACGATGAATGATTAACGATGGATGGATGAGATGTCGTCATCCTGGACCTGAACTTCACACCTGGGGTCAGGGGCCTCAGCTCAGGCTTTGAACTTTCCAGCCCAGCCGGAAGTTCGGTCAACAGTCATTGCTACAGCCCCATTTTATGTTGTCAAATCATCTAGAGAAGCATGTGGAGGGTTCGGTTGACAGCAGGTCGACTTTACAGCCCAATGTTATTTTGTCAAATCATCTAGAGAAGCACAGAGGGGCCGGTTGAACATGACAGCATGTTGACTTTACCGATGAGGCCTCCACTGCTCTAACAAGTGCAGTCGCAAATGCTGTCCAAGCACGGCTTGGGCAAAGCACATTAGCATCAGTTCAACAAACACAAACAACAACAACAACAACAACAACAACAACAACAACAACAACAACAACAACAACAACAACAACAACAA